ACTCTTCACAGCAAAAATTAATCGAACAGTTTTCTCCACTTGTTTTATGCAATTCCTCCACATTCTATCATCTTTCACACTTTTTACTAGGAAAACTTCAAACATACCTCTGGCTAATTTATCTCCCCACGTTTTTGTGACGTATTTTTGAAGCGAACCCCAGATATAATATCATTTTATTCAGACTGTATTTCTAACAGCTAAGAACTTTTGAAAGATATAATAACAATATCATTATCACACCTACCTAAATTAACGGCAATTCTCTAATCTCATCTAATACCTCGTCTGCATGCAGATTTCCCTGGTTGTCTTAAAAATCTTTTCCCAGTTGTTTCATTTGAATCACGACCTAATCAGGTCCAAACATTGCATTTCTTTTAAATCCCTTTTCCCTTCTCTCTCTTGAACTCACATTAATCATGCTTCCCATCACTGTCCCCAGACTGCTTTTTCAAGGGCACAGTTGCTAGAATATTGGTGAAGGCACTGGGTAGTTCTTTCCCATCCTACTGGACATGGGCGTGACAGCAGCAACTGACTGTCGGAGCTCTTGGATTTGCCAAGCTTTTCTCTTCCACCCTCGGCCAGTGTGTCTCAGCTCCTATCCCTGCTTCTTGGCACAGCATGTTCCAGGGCTGGTCCCCTGGTCCTCTTTAGCCTTATTTTCTCCTTACTGGTGTTGCCCAGTCTCAAAGCCATCTCATGTTTCTATTTCCAGGCCACCTCAATGCCCACTCAACACCCTCTTCCCCAAATGTCTGTTGAATTTCTCAAACTTAACCTGTCTGAATTCAACGCCTGCCCTTCTGATGACTTTGACCCAAACCTTGAATTCACCCCAACCTCTGGTCTCTCAGGTGTGTGTTGTAAGGTTGAGTTCAAGAAAGGAACCGAGTCAGAGTGTCAATCTGGCTAGAGATTAGGAGAGTTATTAATGCCATAGATATATCAGCATGGTGGGGGTTTTAAAGACAGTTCAGCCCCACCAGACTGGAAGAAAGGGGTTCCCTTTCTCAACAGTTTCTGAGAAAAGGGGACAGCACCATACCACATAGTTAAGAAGTAACCCATCGTACTTAAGTCCTTGTGAGCAGGTTGCCTTAGATTCCCTTCCCTCCTCCTGTTGGCAGTCCTTTGTGACCACAGCGTCACAGCAGGTGGCCTGTCAGCTCCTAGCATCTGTAACAGGAGAGAGGCAGCACCGGATGTAGTCTAATCTGTGAAACTGTGGCTCCTGATCTAATATACACTGATCTCTCTTGAGGTTTAGCTAGACTTCTTACCACTACTGTCACTGCTACTGTCCCAGCCCTAGCTACCACCATCCCCTGCTTGGAGTTTTGCACCAAACCTCTACTCAAGCTCCCTGCCTCGGACTTCTTTACCTCTCTAGTCTATTCTCAACTCAGCATCTGCCACAGTTAGCTTCAGTTATCAACTTGACACACCTCAACTAAGAAGTGCCTCAATCAGGCTGGCCTGTGGGCTATTTGTAAGGCATTTTCTTAATTGCTAATTGACACTGGAGGGACCAGCCCTCTGTGGGTAGTGCCACTCCTGGGCAGGAGTTGTATAAGAAAGCTAGCTGAGCTCCAGCCAGGAGAAGCAAGTCAGTAAGCAGCGTTCCTCCATGGTTTCTCCTTCAGTTTCTGCCTTCAGGTTCCTGCCTTGAGTTCCTGCTTCGGCTTACCTTCAAGATAGACTGTAACCAGTAAGCCAAATAAACTCTGTGCTCTCCCAAGTTGATTTCAGTCACGGTGTTTATCATAGAAACAGAAAGCAAACTAAAATGGCATCCAAAGTTCTCGTTGAGGATTCTATATTCAAAATTATCCATTGCATTCATTTTTCTTAACGTTTTATAATACGCCCTGATTCTTTGGACAAGGAACACTAGTACTTCGGTCAGGAGATTCATTATGTGGGCTGCACTGGGCATTGCAGGATGCTCCACAGGACCCTGGGCCACTGATGTTTCCCAGAGCACCATCTATTCCAGCAAGCCTGCCAGCTGCTGTGATTTCTGAAATGTCTCCATGCATTTCCAAACTTCCCAGTGCACTGGATATCCTGGTTGGGACTCTCTTGCCGGACAATGTACAACACCCCTACACCCTCCCGCCCTCCCACATCCCACTGTGATGATTAGTTTTGCCAGCTTGACACAATCTAGAATCACCTGGGGAGTCTCAAAGAGAGATTGTCTAGGTTGGCCTGTGGGCATGCCTGTGGGGGATTATCTTGATTTCCTTAATTGAGGTAGGAGGACCCACTCACTGTGGGTGGCACCATTCCCTAGGCAGAGGATCCTGAACTCTAAAAGAGTGGACAAGGTGAGCTGAGCGCAAGTATGCATGTATTAATGGACTCCTCTCTGCTTCTTGGCTGTGGATGAAATGTGAATAGCTGCTTCAAGCTCCTGCTGCCCCCGCTTCTCACCATGATCAAGCCCAGCCTGGAGCTGTGAGCTAAAATAAACCCTTGGGCTTGAGAGACGACTCAGCAGTTAAGAGCACAGGCTTCTCACCATGATCAAGCCCAGCCTGGGAGCTAAAATAAACCCTTGGGCTTGAGAGACGACTCAGCAGTTAAGAGCACAGGCTGCTCTTGCACAGTACCCAAGTACAGTTCCCAGTACCCACATGGAAGCCAACAGCCATCTGTAACTCCTGTTCCAGGGCATTCAACGCCCTCTTCTGGCCTCCATGGGTACTGCATGCATAGGTGCACTTACATACATGCAGGCAAAACACACACATAAAATGAAAATCGATCAATCAAAACATTTTTGAAAAACAAAAATAAAATAAGCCCTTTCTCCCCTAAGTTGTTTTTGTCAGGATACTTTATCATAGTCACCAGAAACTAAACTAGGACACCCATCAAGCTCTCTCTGATTTTGCCTCAGGCTATGCTCACGCACACCTGGGCTCCTGTCTAATTGGAACAGGGAGAACAGAACCTGCCTCCCTTCCTCCAAGTCTTTGCTCAGGCATTATCTTGCCTGTGAGGCCTTCCCAGGCACCTGTTCAAAACACATTCCTTCACACTCAGGCTGTCTTCCCTACCTGTCTTTTCTCTAGAACGTTTATCCCATGAGATGTGCTATAAGTTTTTCGTTGTTGTTGTTTATTTGGGGGCCTGTAAGCATTCAGCTCACGTCTGTATCCCAGTGCCTGCAGTAGAACCCAAAACACTGTGGACACTCAGTAACTATGTGAATGAATGAATGAATGAATGAATACAGAATCTATGGGAACATATGACTTCCTAGCGGCTAGAGAGATGGCTCAGTGGTTAAGAGCACTTGCTGCTCTTGCAGAGGACCTGGATTCAGTTCCCAGTACCCACAACAGATTACCCATAATTGCTTGCAACATCAGTTCCAGGAGTTCCAATGCCCTCTTTCTGCTTCTGCAGGCACATAAATAAAAAATAGTAAAGTTAAAACAACAAAACCAAAAAAAATTCCATGTCTTTCGAGAAGGAAGCTCCCTTTTGTAAGACCTTCATTTGATTCTTCAACTCAGCAAGGAAAACTTCCTGAAGGGAGATGGGAGCTGAGGAGTGGCCAATAGCCTGCTTTGAAGAAGATTATAACACCCTGATAGCTTCCCCAACCATGACACAGCCATCCATCCTGTCCACCTCAACCCTCACCCCACCTGCCATCGACCTCTTCCTTCAGACTGACTCCATCCTAGAACTTTCTGAGACGCCTGTCCCTGAAATGGCTCAGGCTTGCCTCAGCCACACTCCAACACAACCCAGGAGCAAGACTCTGCAGAGAACTAGGTCACACAGCCTAGACACAGGCCCAGAGAACAGAAATGTTCTAAGGCAGACTTTTCTGTTTAGGCTGAGAAGCAGTCTCCCTGGATCTTCAACTACAAATTTACATGTCTTTAGCATGTGTGTGTGTGTGTGTGTGTGTGTGTGTGTGTGTATGATTTGAAATGGCTCTCCCTCAATAATGGCTGCTTGTCTCCCAACTGTGCCTGAAAAGCTTGGTTACCAGGAAAGCCCACTGTAAATACATACACAAAGGCGGGCTACCCAGAACTTGTCTTCCAAAATTCTCAGCAAGCACCAAGGAATCTAGATTTGTGGCTATGCAGTGGAATTCTTTGAAGCTGTTAAAAAGAAGAGGCAGCTGTTTTTATATTGACTGTAGAAGGACCACTAAGATACATCACTAGGGGGAAAAAATCGAAGAGCTAGTATACTACAATTTGTGTAAAAATAACTATGCACACACACGTGCTTGGATTTACCTAGAAAATCACTGAAAAGACGAGAAAACTACTATAATTGGTTGCTATGTGGGGTGGGGGTAGGTGGTTATATTATAAAACTAAAACGATAGTGGGGGAGAATGGAGGCACTCCATCAAATATTATGCATGCATTTTAATATTTTTTTATTATAGCAGTGTGCTGTGTTTTTGAAAAGAATAAATTACATTTTTAAAAGGACATAATTAGATTGGCGAAATTTAAATAAATAGGGCTGTGTGAACAGTCCAAGCATTTTTGGTGGAAAAATAAAAGCTGCTTGCACAGGTAGAAGTGGGCTGAAGTAGAAAGCCAGAGAGAGCCCCGCACATCAATCAGTTGCCCCAGGATTGAATGGGTCTTCTCTGTAGTCAAGGGCTGGGAAAGGCAGCGGGTTCCCAGGCAGCAGCCCAAGTTAAACAAAGCCCAGGTTGGGAGGGGCCTGCCTGTGCCTAGGATGTGTGACCATGCCCTCTGGACTGCAGGCTTGCTCCTGACTTGTGTCGGAGTGTGACTGAGGCAAGCAGAACCATCTCAAGGTAAGGTGTAGCTGAAGGTCAAGGATGGAGTCACTCTGAAAGAAGATGGCGATGGCAATGGGGGAGAGGGAAGGCACAAGGTGAACGGGCAGCTGTGCTCAAATATTTGAGGGGCTGTCAAAATAAAAGGGAGGGAAGAGTCCTGTTCTGAACCTTCTGGATTATGCAGGGCACCGGACCAGCACTCTGTATTTGCAAAAACCACTGTCTTCAAAAAGTTCTTGCCACTAGAAGGGTCTCCAAGCAAAAGGAAGCACCAGTATTGCACTCAGATCCCTCACTAGGCCCAAGGTCGACCTGCCACAGCCGGGAAGGTTCAGAATGCGGTGGCTGGCGTGGCTCAGGTTGTACGGTGGAGAGGACCAGGGATGGGAGCAAGGAAGGGGGAAGTGAAAAAGGAGGAGGAGGAGGAGGGGAAGGAAAAGGAGGAGGAGGAGGGGAAGGAGGAACAGGAGGCGGAGGGGGAGGAGGGGAAGGAGGAAGAGGAGGAAGAAGAGGAGGAGGGGGAGGGGGAGGGGAGGAGGAAGATGATGAAGAGGAGGAGGGAGGGCTGCTGGTGGTTGGCGCGACACTCCGGGGGAGGTGCAGGGGGTGGTGCCCTTGGGCCTTGAAGAGCCGGGCCACAGGTGTGGCGCGCGGTGAGCTCAGAGCTTCCCGCGCGTGACTCAGCAGCGGGCACGCGCCGGGTGGCGGGGGCGCGCGGCTTTCCCGAGCCCGGGGTGCCCGCCCCCGCGAGGGAGCGCGGAGGGGGTGCGTGGGCCGGGAGATTCCGTGCTGCTCGTCAGCAGCTCGCCAGCCGCCCACACACCCAGATCCGGCCTCCGCGCTCACCCCCAGCTGGGAGTCCCGGGAGTGGGGCGGTGGAGGAAGGACTTTCCCCCAGGCTTGCCCCCGCGGAGGGGAATGGGGGCGGGCACCCCCAGGCTTGGTGCGGACCCCGCCTTCCCGGATCCTCATCTTTACCCTTCACGCCCCCTCTCGAGCTGCTCCTCATCTTTATGCTTTGATTGTGGGGGGAGGAGGGGGTCAGGAACCTGGTGGAAATTTCCAGGGATCTTGGCGCTGGGAACCTCTGGGGAACTGCCTTCATCTCCATCCCAGGGACCATAGTAGGTCTGCTACATTTCATTTTCTGGAAAGACTGCATTCAGTCACTCTTAATCCCTCTTCCTGAGCTGCTTCCTTCCTAGGGTCTTGCTTTGAGAAGTCATTGTGACCTTTGATCTGGGCGCTGCTGCTTCACCAAGGGCCTGACTTCACCCCAGTCTTTGTGAACTGGGGTGGAGGGCCACGTTACGAAATTACTGTCCCGGTGGTAGGAAAACCAAGGTCCAGAGTAGGGGAAGGGGTGCTGCAAGGTTATAATCTGTGAGCGAGGACTCAGCATCAGCACCGTCTTGGCTGTAAGGTCAGAATCCAGAGGTTTGAAAGGATGCTGCTGCCAACCCACTGCCTTGTGTCAGTTTCTAGAAGATCCAGAAGTGAGTGGGGTGGGAGCTTCCCTGGGTGGTTCTTAGTAAGATCGTTTGGAAGCTTGCAGAGCATCTCCATTTGTAAAGACCAAACTTTGCAAGGGAAACCCTGATGCTAGACCCAACCAGACAATTCTGAACTGCTTTGCACGAGTTTTTGTTTCTGTTGTTTTTAAATAATCATTGTGTTAAATTTTAGCACTGACTGAAAACTGTGGAAGATTGGAACCATTCATCAAGAAAGAAATTGTGGCGTTTCCTGCTTGTCCTTGGCATGGGAATACACTTGACTGGATGCCTGCCAGGAGGCTGGTTTGACCCGGCAAGTCCAAAGAGGGGGTCACTGGTGCCAGACCCTGGCCACAGCGAGTGAAGATGCTGCAGAGAAAACAGTTGTGGATTTCTGTCCATTGTTTCATTGTACTGGGTCTTCCAAGCCCTGTACCTCTACAGAGAACACCTGGGGCATAGCACAGCTGCACATAGCCAGGCTCCAGGTACCTTTCCTCCCAGGGGCTCACTTCTCTGGGGGCTAGGTTTCTTGTGGATCCCAGATAGAATGAGGGTGACAGAAGGGTGTAGAGGTCCAGTTTTATAGAAGGTTACTGACGTGAGATGGGGAAGAACAAGTTAGCTAAGGGAGATGAAACTTGTCATGTGTAGAAAGGAAGAACCTGGAGTTCTGAGCCTGTGAGGTGACCCACCAGGCATCCCTTGGGTATTGGGAGATGAGTTGAGTTGCTTCACCTCCAGGCCTGCACAATCCTGAATGTGTTATGGTTTATAATCCAGCTCTGGGAAAAGTGCATTCAGTTACATAAGTCAGTAACACACTCACCCAGTATTACAAACATATCTGTACCATGCAGAAGCCCACCACCCTCCAAAAGGATCTTAACATCTCCCAAGAAATGTTTCAGAAAATATCTGGCTGAGAAACAGGACTAAAAACTGGCAGCGTGGGTGTTGGTTTCTGTTGTTTATCTCAGGCAGAATGGTTACCCCAGGTTCCATCTCCCATTTCCCCTCCCCATCCCCTCTTCCCCTGGGGTTGAAGGATGAAGTAACCCAGGGTCTCCTGGGTGCTTGGCAAGTTCTCTACCATGAGCCATACCCTGGCCCTTTTTTTCTCCTAGAGATAAGGCCATGATTCAGATCTCCTATCCCTCCATCCTGAAGACACATCTTCTATTGCTTTTTGAACTTGCCAAGGGGTGTGTGTGTGTGTGTGTGTGTGTGTGTGTGTGTAAGTCATGTGACATTTTATCATGCTTTGTTCTCAATGTATTAATGCATTTCCTAGCCTGGGGCACTGATCGGAGGCTAGAGTTGGGGTAGAGAACTGTCCTCACTCATCCTCTAGACAGGATGGGCAAGTTCCTTCACTGTCCACCATCCTTCCTATTTCCCCACCAACCTGAAATGCTGAGTTTCCACATCTGCTCTTTGCACATGCTTGGGGAGAAAGAAGGGGAACCCAGTGCTGTTGGGCCAAACACAGCCTGCTGGAGGAGGGTTGCCTTCCTGCTAGCTCTTCCTCAGACCTGACACTGTCCCATTCTCTCCATCCATTCCAGAATCCAGGAATCCTCCTGGCCCTACAGACATAGACTTTTACGTGCTCCATAGTAAAGCCCAACACACTGGTATGTCATTTTGCCATCCCCCAAATTATTTTAAGGCCCTTGAAAAGAGTAAAAGAGCTCTCCCTGCATCTTGGTGCTCCTTCAAGTCCTTCCCCTGTGCAGATGGAGCTTCCTGGGCAGACAATCCTCTACACCCGTCCCCCGGCAAACAACTTTTCCATATCAACTCCCGTGAGTGAATCGTGTTCACTAAGGACTGGCAAAGGGATTTAGCTCTTTTTAAAAAAAAAAAAAAAAGTCATGGAGCACTGGAGAGATGGCTCAGGGGTTAAGAGCACTGTCTGTTCTTGCAGAGGACCCAGATACAGTTTCCAGTACTCACAGGGTGACTAACAACTGTCCGAAACTACAGTTCCAGGGGATCTAACACCCTTTCTGACCTCCCCTGGCATTACATGACACGTGCACTTGCATACGTGTAGGCAAAAAACTCATGCATATAAAATTTTTTTTAAATGTTGTGGAAACAAGGATGCGTTCAGACCCTCAACAGCCTCCCTACTAGACCCTTTACTTCTCTGAGCCTCCTCCTCTGATCTTCAAGTCATGCAGGGTTGCCATATAGCCCCCTCTTTTACCAAGCATTGTCCTGGGAATTGTCCAAATAGACAATTTTATGTGGAGAGGGAAAGTCTGATAAAGCTGCATGGGTGGTTTTATTCCTGTCCTTGAAGTTGATTTTTAACAAAGGAGATAGCCTTGAAGTACTCAAAACAGTCTCTGACTGGAATTGTTGGCATGGATGAGATGTTCTAAAAGGCAGAGGTGGGCCCTCTGAACCCTCTCTCTAAGAAGCTACAAGTTTGTCCTTGAACACCATGGAACAGTCCTAATGGGCTTTTCTAATCACTGCTAGTAAGTGTCAGGGGAATTACATGAACAATTAAAAGAACATGAGCTCTAAACCTTGTCTTGCCGCTAACTGGTTTAGAAGCACCCATCACTTCCCCCTCAGACTTTCATTTTCTCATTTGCTGAATGAGAAGCCTAGACCAGGTGGCCTTAGAGCATCCTTCTAGTGCTGACATTTGCCTGACTCTCCAGAGAGGCTCCTGAAGTCCTCTAAGTCTCTGCAGCTCTGGCGTAGAGGGTATAACCTGATGACAGCACAGAGCACAGGACTTGGGCGGGCTGCCTGCATGCCTTCCTGTCCACAACAGCCTGCTGTGGAGGAGGATAGGTACTAGTCACCACAGCACTGGCGTTGGTTACATAACCCTCCTGATCAGATAGATGTTTCCAGTAATGAACAATGGCAAAACAGCCCATTCTCCAGAGTATCCAAGACCCCAGCACGCACACGCATGCATACACACACACACACACGCACACGCACACACCAACAATCTTTTCCAGTTGTGGCTTTGTAACCACAACTACCCCTGCAAGAGAATCAGAGAAGCCTCTTGTCTTTTTCATGTGTTCTTTTTTTTCTTTCTTTCTAGGTTTTTCATTTAAGAAAAACCTTTCAGAGAAGGCTCATATCCTCCAGGTCTGACCAGAGAAAGTAGGATCCCTCTAGGCCCTTACACTATTTAGCATTATATAGGTCTCTTCTTTCTTGGGCCGATCGCGTCATTCTCTCTAGCTGTGTGAATGCTGTGTAGAATAGGTCTGTCTTCTATCTGCAGGAGGAGCAGTCTAGAGGATGGACTCACTGGGCCTGGTTTCCATGGACATTGGAGGTGCTCCCCAGGTTTGCACTCTATTCCCCCTACTTTCATCCTTAGTAGGTCAGTAATGCCTTTGCCTAGAGGAGACTGTGGCTTCCCATTTTAGGAAATGGCAGCAGTCCTTATCACCAGAGGACATTGATAACTCAGATCTCTCTGCTATCCTTAAAAGTAGTGCAAATAATCTTGAAGAGCAGCAGGAAAAGTTGCTGTTAAATGTGTACTTTCCAGCTGTGAAGTTGTGGCACCTCATAGGGATCACTGACCATGGCAGCTTTGTCCTGCCTGGCAAGGTCAAACCTATAGTCATAGTTCTGGAATATGAGCGCTTGCCATTCGAGGGTAGAGGAGCAGAGTAGCAAGGGGCATGTATTGAAAGGTGTTCTGGCAGAACAGAAAGAACAGAAATATGGATTTTCACTATTGCTAGACTGATACCAGATGATCTCCCTGTCTCGCCTCTGTCTTGGTTTCTTTATGTGTTGAAATACTGTGATTTATTGAGCACTTAGAAGGACCCCAACTTAGTGGTAAGTAAGTGATACATAGCAACTCTTTAAAGTATCTCCTTTCTCTATGTGCAAAAACAGGCTGAAAGAAAAAAACCCAACAAACCAAAACCCAAAAACAAAAAAACTAAGGTAAGGTACCTCAGCTGGTTGGGGATAAGACAGGATCTAGGTGTGTGTGCTGAAATTCTGGATTCTCAACTACTTAGACCGTAAGTGTGCTCAGCTCCTATGGTTTCCCAGAGTTTTGGTTTTTTTTTTTTTTTTTTTTTTTTTGGCTGAGAACTCCAGCTTGTCCTCACCTTACTTCTATCCTTTTTCTTTCTGTGAAGGCCTTCAGCGCCTGAAACGAAGCCAGCCATCCCTTTCCTGCAGGGAAATGAAAAGTTCTTTGCAGCTTTGGTGGGGACCTGTACTTTGTGCTTTTCCAGTATGTAGCGGTGCATTACTGCAGTGTTCTGAGCTCGGAAACCTGCCAGAGTTCTCATGGTTGGGAACTTGCCAGTGCAGTGAGTGTCCCCAGGACCTCTTATGAAGCTGCTGCCATTTTTGTTGTTGTTGTTGTGGGCCATGGAGTATGATGAAAAAAATGTTCTGATTCCCCCTAAAAGGGAAGTTGGTGAAGAATCTTTACATAGAATTTAAATTCAAAAGTTGGGCCTCTTTCCAGACCCTGGCCCCAGCTGTGGTTCGTAGCTTCCCCTTCTTTTTCTTAACACATGACCTCTCTTCTCTCCTCAACCAGCCCTACTCCAGTCTGCCTTTTTGCATAAGTAAGTGACCTTTGGAACTCAGGCCATGCAGCTATTTGCTGAATCAGCAGCACCAACTGCTGTGCCTCTTGCTTGGGTTGGGGCCAAGGGGAAAATGTGCCAGGATGTCTCTGAGGAGCCCTGTGATGTTGATCACATGATCTGGACAGGGCTGGGAGTGAGGGAGGGGAGATCTGGAGCACAGGGGCTGCCCAGACACCAGGGGATGGCTTGAGCTTTGAAAATTATGCTCTTTATGGGAGAAAGGGCAGGAAGAGGATCAGTCCCTTGGAAAGGTCTGGCCACCAAATCTTTCCAAACATCTGTTTTGTACCAGCTTCCAGGAATGAAAGAAAGTATTCACTCCCTCTCCTGAGTGAGCCTTCCTCTGATTCTAGTTTCCAACTAGTTTGCTTGAAGTCCTCTGCCTGGTGGTGATGGAGGATGGGAAGGACATGGATAGGCATACGAGTGAGCTTTGGTTGCATGATGCTGCCTTGGCAGCCAGGTCTTCTAGGCTTGTGGCAGATAAGGGCTTTGCATGCTGAGGCTGTCTTTACCTACTGACAGAGCTCAGGAGGGGACATGCTGTCAGAGGATGGAATGATGTCTGCATGCAACACAAATGTCTCCCAGGATTGAATCTGCTGGAGTGTTTCCTTCTTGGCTGTCCTTTGCTCTGATTTTTTGACACAGACCTTCACCTCCAGTCAAGAAACTTCTCTCTCGTTCTGAACCTGTGTGTGTGCCCGCTCTTTGGCCCTATGCTATTCTGAGGGAGGGTCGCACTATTAATAGATGTGTCTCATTATGTTGAGTAGAGACCACTTACTTATTTCCTCTCTCATCAGCATAGAAAATAAGCTTTTGAATAGACTTAACACTTGATACATTTAGCTGATGATAGACCTTCATGCATGAAGCTCCTGATAACTTGGAGGATGATCCAGTCAACCTCTGCCACCTCCAGGCTGACTGCCCTCATTCAACAGTAGAGTCACCTGCTCCAGTCAGCATCCCAGATAACTCTGACTAAAAGGCACATGTGGAGACCATGTAGCCATCCCTGGGACCTAGCCAGCATGAGACCAAGAGCTCTAGAGATGACTCAAGATTTATTTCATGTGAGGTTGTGGGTGAATGCTAGAACACTTGCTTAGCATGTGCAAAGCTGTGAGCGCAATCTCCATCAGGAGAAAGAAAGGAGGGAACAGAGGAGGAAAGATGGAAGAGAAAGCACTCAAGGGAGGGAGAAGAGGGAAAAGGAGAGAGAAGAAAAGTGAGAAGGAAGGAAGGAAGGGAAGGGTGTTCAAGGAAAGTGAGGGAGGAAGAAAGGGGAGAGCAGATACTCAGCCACTCGGATTTTGTGGCCACACTGAGAAGGGGAACTTAGAATAAAAACTGAATTTGAAGCACACTGCCAGAATCTTACCTGCCAGTAATCATCTGCCTCAGGGACTGGAGACACAGGCAGGTCCTGGGCTCCTAACTAAACCTATGCCTGAGTAGGCAAGGGTACTGCGGCAGAAGCTGTGGTCACAAAGCCAGGGGCTTTGGATAGGGTCATGTGCTTCCATGGCAAGGGGTCTTTGCTTGGTCAGGCTGAGGCCTGACTCCAGCCAAGAAAAAGATAAAATCTGTTGCTGCTGTGAGCCTTGGTTGGAAAAAAACAAAGACGAGGAATCTGTGTTTGCTGCTTTCGTTAAGGAGCATACGCAGTGGGGCTTGAGCTTAGCAAGAGTGGGACACATGCAGAGAAAGGACGTTAACCCCTAGGGCTTCCATAATAGATGTGCACACCCGCCTCCACATTGCTGTTTTCCTAGCTTGGATCCCAAGGCAAAACCCCTTTGTGTGTCCCCCAGCTGAAGGAGGGAGAGCAGCCAGGTTGCATACTAATGCCCATCAGATGGCCATTAAACATGCCATCATTTCCCAGACCCAGAGCTCCCACTTCTTCCAGTGTTGGGCAGGAACAGGAGTTCAGGAGAAAAGAGAAACTGTGCAAGGGTGGGTGGTGAGTGGAGGGGTGGTCGGGGGTGGGTGGGGATGTGTGTGAAGAAGGCATCTAACAGTGCCTGACCCTTTGAACCTTTTGCTCCTCTACAGCCACTCACTTAGGACCACATTCTCATTCTGAAATGAGGACCAGGAGGAATAAACAAAGGTTTGCAGCAACATTATGATCTGAAGCTCTCTCCACAGTCGCTACAGTAGAGAATTAACTTAGCAGGAGTTCCTGGGGGAAAGGTGAGGTGGGGAGTGGGAAACAATTGCTAGCTCTGCTCTCCTCCTCTTCCCTCACCCTACACATGGAGGTTTCCCTCTGCCCTATGAAAGCTCCATCTATCCCTGCCCTGTGGAGTGAGGGATGCCCAGAGGACAAATGCCCAGAATGGGGGCCATGAGTAGACAGTATGGTGAGCCAAATACCTAGTTAGCTACAGTGATTCTTCCCCTGGTTCTATGGGGAAATGTGGGTTGGAATTAAGCAAAACTATGGGAAAGAAATGATTGTCCAGGGACCTCCAGATAGTCAAGGTGTGAATCACTTCACATAGAATGGAAGGAAGCTGCAGGGAAGAGAGGCAAGCATGTCCTTGCTCTCAGAGTTTCTGGGCATCCAGGCCTGGGGAAAAAGGGGGAAATTGAGGACTCTGGAGAAAGTAAGAAGCTAATGGTATTACTAACTTCTCAGTGTACTTTCTAAGTGAAATGTTTTCAGCAGCATCCACTCCTTCCACCACGATAGTTATTTCTTATTTTTGGTCTGCTTCTTATGGAAGCAGAAACAGGAGAGGGGAGAGGGGGATCACATGCTGTCAGCATGTGAGGCAGGTGATTCCTCAATCCCTCGATTCCCAGCATAAGCATCTGTATGGAAGGTAGGGCTCTCTAGGACCCTTTGAGTGTCACAGAAGAACCTTTATCCAAGGAAAAGATCTGTCATCAACCTTTCTTGCTCAGTTTCCTAAAGAGATACAAAGTAAATGGAGATGCAGTGGGAGAGAAAGGAGACACCAAATGTCACCAGGAGAGGCATCAGGTAAAGACTCCCAGTCACCAGGAAGCTGTGTCTGTCCCCAGAAAAATGGGACAGAATTGTTTCCTCAGTTGGGAAAAAAGACCATGTAATAGTGTGGGAAAATGTTGCTTTTTGCTGAGCTGTGTGCATTGACAAAAAACCCAGACCTCTGCTTTATATGCTAGATGGAAAAGACAACCACAAAATTGAAAGGACAGATAGGCCAGTGAGGGGCCTGAGTCACATGCCTTAGCTCTACCAAGCCAGGTCACCCTGGATCTCCAACCCTGAAGTCTTGTGATTCTGGTCAAATTTACTCTGTGAGGGAGCATGTCCTGACCCACCTTCTTAACTCACACAGATGGGAGAGGAAAGTGAGATAGGTAAGGGGTGGAGGAGGAGAAATAGGTTTTTAGGGAGTGCAACCAATCTTCACAAGTGTCTTTCAGACATAAACCACACGAGACTGGGTGAAGATGAGGTACTCGGCTCTCCTTGCTCTTTCCCCTCCCTCTCCTTTAACATCATCATATCATCAGAGCCGGTACTGTTTTCCACAGAGGTGTTCTTTGAGCATCACCTTTCTCATCAGAGAAGGAATACTGACCAGATCACCACAGTTTCCCAATAGAGAAGGAAACATTCTAGCTCCCCTTTATCATTTCCTCCCATGTTCCTATTTCATGGATCTCATGAGTGAAGAAAAAGCTTGAGCCTCTAGCCTCTGCCTGGGGACAGTTGACATTTCTCCTGGGATCCAATAGGAGGTCCAGTTATCTCCAGATAACTAAAGGGGAAATAGGGCTTGCCATTCCTAGTCATGACATAATTTAAAGAGGCATTACATCAAAAGAACTGTTTTCCAGCTGTTTCCCTTATCATTGCTCCCTTCCTACGATCGCCAAACATCCTGGACACATGTGTTTCTGAGTCAGAGGAGAGCTCTAGCTGGATAGAGAGTCCTTGAGCCATGACTGAGCCTTTAATCAGTCTTGTGGTTTGTTTCTGGGTACCCCTTGAGTGGCACTTTAGAGATTCAGATGAAAGATGCTCACTCAGGTCAGAGGGGAGAAAGCTTCCTGCAAAGTGAGCCACTCCTGGCTTTGACTCACTGCTCTTTCCCTGGGCAGTGCTGTCTTCCACCCTTTATTTTTCTATATCCAGCTCCCCTCGCTGTTCACGTCACTCCTGCTTTTCAGCTTTATCCTATGCCTTTTGAATTCTCTCTACTTCAGTCCTGTCTCACTCTTCATTTAAACAGTTGCTTGTAAACTCCTTTTCAGTTTTTTCCTAGCTTAAATCCTTCAACGGTCCTCTTCACCCCCAACCTCCTCCCAATTTTATATCCTTTAAGCCCGGCCAGTTCCCAATATCTCCAATCACTTAAAACCCATTCCTTTCATTCTTTTTGCCCCAAAGATGGTCTAGATACTTCCTTCTGCTCCAAAAGCCACAAACCCTCAAACGGGGATCTAAGTCCCTCTTTTGTATGAATTTCCTTGACACACTTCTACCCAAGGCATCCTGCTCCCACCCTCCGCTTCACTTCACCTCACCCCAGTCCTTCACTCTTACTGGTTTCCCCATATCTCCTCACACCCACTTGCTTCTCCATCGTCCCCATCTCCTCTTCCCCACTCACTCGGGTCTCCTGCTCAGGACGCCCTTGCCCAGGGCGGCAGGGGATGTGTGCTGAAGGAGGGCTCCGGCGGCAGGGCAACAACTCGGCGGACGCTCCTTCTCCTGGTCAGCGACGGCGCCAGGTGCCGCCGGGTGCTGGTGGGGGGACTGGGGCGTGTGAGCCCGGCTGCTGGGGCCCGGCTGGGGCTGCGCGAGGAGCTGTCCGTGGTGCTGGAGCGGCGGCTGCTCCTGCGCGGCTGGCGCGAGCTGTCCGTGGTCTTGGAGCGGCTCCTGGGCCCCGGGGGCGGCGGGAGAGGTGGCCGCAGGAGCCGGCAGTGGGGCTGACGGCGGGGGCACGAGCCCGGGCGGAGGCTGCGCTTGCAGCAGCTGCTGGTGCTCCCACAGGCTGCGGTTCTCGGCGCTCAGCTCGTCCAGACGCCGCTCCAGCTCGTCGATGCGCTGGCGCTGGGTGTGGATGAGGCTCTGCTGGTTCTGAACGATGGCCGTAAGCTCCTTGAGGTACAGCACGGCGCGCACCGGGTTCTCCAGCAGGCTCTCCATGCCGCCCGCAGCCTCCAGCGCCCTGCCTGCACCTCGGCGGGCGGCGGGTAGTGCGAGCGCGCAGGAGCCCCGCAGCCCCGGCGGTCGGCGGCCTCCCTCCCCGCAGCCGAGCCTCCCTCCCTCCCCTGCTCGCAGCCGCCGCGTCACTGCCACACAGGCTTTCGCATACGCACCGAGGGGCGGACCCGGCGCCGCGGCCCACCCCCCCACCTCTGGGCTTCGTGAGGAACTCTGCTTCCCGCAGGGCCAG